GGATCTATGTCCACACACAAGTAAACAAAGCTGCCACTGTACACTCATCAGTCACACATGAGACCAGGTCCAGCAGCGGCATCAACAATCGATCAGAGGAACAGACGGAGCAGCTAATCGCACTTTTCTACACCTCGGAACCGGGTCAGCTGACATGAGAGCAGCGACAGCGTGGGAAAGATGAGCAGGATCCGTCTGACCGCAGTTAACCCAGCAGAGAGCTTTCAAACGCCTCGCCGGGCCGGCACACACCACGTGACGGAGCCCCGCTGTGGCCTGCTGCGGGCTTTTAGGCTTATTAGTACTGACACTGAGCAGAGGGGGGGTGCAGAGGGAGCGTTCGGTGGTCTGAGTTTGTTACTTAACGGAGAGAAGCATGTTCCAGATTCCCCTACATGCTGCACCAGACAAAACCTTTGTAGTTGTAATGTTCCAAAGTCAGATTAACATGGAGAAAAGGAGATCCTTGCACTAATCTTTAGTCTTACTACTCTGTAAGAAAGTATTTTCTGGTAACAGTGCTACGGAAGCTAAAGCCACAGCACACGCATTAAGTTACTACAATATGCACTCAAAAAGTAGATGGGAGTTGAAGGCATTAGCTCTTTTGAACTAGGACAGTCCTAGACAATGACAAGGACAATTCAAGAATAAGTGCACCTGCTGCAGCCCTCTGACAAGCTTGTAGCTAAACTAGATATCACACATTTACAAAGAATAGACCGATATTGATAATGAAAAAAGTTTTTGTTTTTTGTTGCAATATAATCTCTGATTATGCGAGAGGAGAGTGGACTGAGTCGTGTGCAGATTTGAGCGAGGAAGCTAACGCTAACTAGCCGGCAATCTGTCTGTCAGATTAATGCGAAGAAATGCCAAGAGCATGGGGAGAATTACTGAGCGGACTTCACAAAGCTGGATTTCATGGTTTTCCATTGTTGCAGCATCTGGTAGTGTTATTGCACAACTGTTTTGCATGTGTGAACCTGAAGAAATGAAAGAATTGTAGTCTTTTTAAATGTTGCAGGATCACCACTGCTCCACATCATCTCTCCTACAGCTAACCACAGCTCACCTATATCCAAGTTTGTGTTCTTCTCCTCTTTTCGCCAAATTAATCAACCGCAAAGCATCACCAAACCAAGAGTAGCTCCTGAAGGAAGCAGCCAGGGATGCACTCGGCAAATGAGCCAAACGAGCCAATGCCGGCAGTGACGCCATCGAGGAAACCAGCGAAGAAGACTCGCCTTCATCCAACACTGCACTTTGTGATTGCTCACTGATACTTCCTCCGAGCGAGGTGATCTTCTGCTCTGTCATCATAGCCTGTTTTCCTAATGCTATTTCAATAAAACATGTATTCTAGGAGGAGGAGGAGGAGGAGGAGGAGGAGGAGGAGGAGGAGGAGGAGGTCTCCAAACAACAGCTGTTCCACCTCTGTCCTCTCAGATCTGCCAGGCTCAGGGGGGAATTCTGACAGGAGTGGGGGGCAGAGGAGAGGAAAGAAAACCGGGCCATGAAACTGAAGGAGTACACACCCTTGATCCTTGATTTACTCACAGAGGGGTGAGGGGAGGACATGCAGCTCTAAAAATACCCCCATAAGGAGATGGGGAGGTTTGGGTGAGAGGGGGAAACGGGGGAGGAAGAGGAGAAGAAGTGAATGCTTGTTTCTGCTCCACTCACTACTGTATAAAAACATCTTAAGTTTCTGCATCCCTTAAAACACACCTCCCTCGTGACCTTAAGCTTGATGGATTCATTTTTATTTTCAACAAGGGGGTCTGCTTCCTCTCTTCCCCATCATCTCTCGGTCAATCCCTCCCCCCATCCTCTTTCATAAAAAAGATGCCACTAAAGACCCGCTGAACAGCCAGAGGGGTTAACATGAAGGGGAAATGATCGGCAGAGGGCAGAACAATGTCCTTCTTTTTTATTTTTTTCTGCAGCTTATTCATGTCAGCACCAGTGGCCCAGATACCGGGGCCGACTGAGGGAGTCCACTATAGCAGCACCAGAGGCTACAGGCCACCGTACACACACACACACACACACACACACACACACACACACACACACACACACAACACACACAACACACACACACACCACACACACACACACACACACACAACACACACACACACACACACACACACACACACAACACACACACACACACACAACACATCACACACACACACACACACACACACACACACACACACACCACACACACACACACACACACACACACACACACACACACACACACACACACACACACACACACACACACACACACACACACCACACACACACACACACCCACAAACACAACACACACACACCACAACACCACACAAACACAGCAATGAAAAGACACTTTTTTTTTGTTGAGGATTTCCTAATAGGGCTCTACAATCTGCAATTTATACAACCCCTTCCGCTTTTTGTAAAGACGGGAAACCTCAGGACGAGCAACAGAGAAAGGATCCCTCTTCAAGGCTCGAAGAGGCCATAGAATAAGTAAAGCTGGAAAATTCTTACAATTATGATTAATTGATTCAATTAAATTCATCCATTGAGAAAGAATGCCAACAATTCCAAGCTTTCTCCAATCCAGCTCCTCAACTATGAGAAAGTGCAGCTTTTAGTTGTTTTAAATCAATGTAAATGTAATATATTTGACTCTGAGATTAGTCTGATAATGAATGGCAGATTTCCTTATTTATAGAAATGGTTTAGCCCAACTGGATAATTTGTTCTCAAATCACAATTTAATATTTTGTATTAAAACTTAAGTGCAGCTGTTTTGTTGTATAATGCACAAGGGTCCACACCACATATCTAACGACCAATTCAAACAACCTGCGAAAACGTTATGGTATGTCCGATTTGAAAGCATGAGGTGTGATGACATTTTTAAAGAGCCTGCTATAACCTTGACAGCCTCATCAGAAGAAGCTGCTGAACACTGATACCCTCCTTCCTTTGTACCCCCTCACATACACACACTCCTCCCGGGTAGATAGTGGAAAATACTGACCCCACACACGCCGAGTGAGACAATGACCCAATAGCGGATAGAGCGTGAACCTGAGAGGCGGCGAGGCAAAGGCGTCCCCCGGCCCAGATTGACCGAGGATCTTCACTTGTTTGAGTAGTTGGTGACACTGATATCCACCGCCTGTGTCACACACAACTTAGTGGTAACCGTATCCGCCTGCAGGGCCCCAACTTACTACTTCCATCTTCCCCTCCGCTGACAGCTGACCATGAGGAGTGATGAATGGAGAGGTCACGTAGCACCGAGCACACAAAGCACCCGATATGTACTATATGTACATTCTGACATGGACACACACACTGCTTCTCCAAAGCAAGAATGTCTGAAATGAGGATCAAAGTTGAATGATTGCAAGCTTGGAGCAATTTATATCAATATAGTACACAGTTTCACCTCCGGAGCCTGCAGAAGATTCAGGAAATATCATCCGAACTATCTCACCATCTCAACGCTGCATCTTCACTAAAGGCACTCTGGCAAATGTCGATCCCACATTACAGGAGCACAAGCCAAGTCTTCAAACAGCCTATTTCATCAGAGCAACCATGAAAAGCACTCAAACTATTCAATTTACAGTAATATAAAGGAAATAGGAAAATAAATCGAGATTTGCAAATGCAAGGAACAAGATTGGTGATGGATATTTTCTTCATAGAGTCTAAAAGTCCATGTCTCTAAATAGTTTAAGATCATTCAAATGTTTTTTCTCAAACTGATCGTCAGTATCACTTCAAATGACACAACAATCAACATAAAAGAAATGCAAAATTGTAAAAAAAATACTTTAAACAAGCCAGTAAATGTTTTTTAAATCTTACTTGTTTTAAGAAGAAGTTACTTTTTATAACTAAATAAAAGCTAAACATGACTCGCACTAAGATGGAAAGTCTCACAGAGTAACTAACTTACTAAAAGTAATCACCTAAAGACTCAACAATATTGACACGTCGGTTAAAGGACTAATCACTTCAGCACAAACTATTAATGGACAGATGGTCAGTTTTAACTTTCATCCTCTGTGTTACCAGTTTGCCTCACAATGAGCAGGACTCTTGTTTGACAGCTCACTCAGCTGTTGAGGGAATCGAACCTGTGACGTTTCCTGCACAGGACTTCACTCTCACCATTACACCTCTCTGAGATCTCTGAGTGTTACAGCAGCTTTCATAACTCTCTGATTGTCACCACTGTTCCTGTTTCCCACGCTTGCTCTCCAAATAAGGAGCAGGGTAGTTTGGATAAGATAATGAGTTACCTGCCACTTCTTAATCAGCACTCACTTGGAAATCCTTATTTCCCCACTTCAAACACTCCCACCGCAGACCTCCCCTCGCCACACACACACGCGCGCGCACACACACACGCGCGCGCACACACACACGCACGCTTGTTTGGTAACTCATCAAACCGAGACACCACTGCTGTGCGTAAAAGTCATGCCTCATGCATGCTCAGGGCTTTAGCTTGGTCAGAAACGCACAGACATTCACAACAAAAACTCCAAGACAGGAAAGTGATATCCCTTCACGAGATGACTGATCATGTAGAGACGCCAAAGGTTGCAGGCGGAGGGAAGAATGAGCGGCACGCAGAAACCCAGACAGCTCTGACAGACTTGTTACAGAAAATAGTGCCAAACTGTGCCAAATAACAGTATGGAAGAGCGCTTTTAGCCTGTGCCATGATTCAACTCCAAAACATACAAACTCCCTTTGATAAGTCAACTTTATCACATAACATGAAGGATCATTCACATTAAATCACGTTGTATGTAAATGATAAACTTTGAGGTGCATCCAGGTGAATAGTTTGAGACTTTTACGCAATCATTCCTCTTAAAATCCAACAGCAACTCGCTATATTTGTGCGATTTAAAAAAAACACGTGTCTGCTCTCCACCTGCACATACGTGACATTAAGATCCACTTACCGGCCACGCGAACTGGAAGGGAATTAGGATCTTCCCGGTGTCATGGTTCCGGTTCTGTCCGGTTTTCTGCCCCCCCTTGAACTGAAAAGTATTCCCACCGATAACCTTAGTAGTTTCCGAGCCGTACGTGCACGTTCCTTTGGTCGCGACCTCCGTTTGGTATTCCTTTAAACACACTTTGAAGTACGTGTCGCACTCGTCCGCGTCGCAGTGGCCGTCCGCCGCGCTCGGCTCCGCGTCGCAGCAGTCCCCGTTAAGGAGCTGACCTGTGGGGTTTTCCACCGAAATCAACTGCAGCTCGAAGTAACCAGTGGAGTGAGACACCTGAGGAGAAGAAACGACAGTGAGAAAGGCTGAAAAAACCCTGAACGAGGTATTTGCACTGCAATCATGTCATTTTTTTCTTTCTTAAAATGCCAATTACCGACTCTAAACTGACATGTTATACTCTTATGTTATTCTTTTTTTATAGAAAGGTATATAATAAGGTGTTAAGTCGCAATAAGAATCTGTTTAGAACATTGTTATGATGAATCAATTATTTAAATGGTAATGTATGTTCTTATCAATGGAAGTAATCTCCCCATGCGCAACTTGAAGGAAGAAATAGGACTTTTTTTGGCAGTGTGCAGACTGCCTGCAGCCCACACTACAGTACCGTTTGGCACAGTTGAACTTCATGGCTACTCAAAGACCTATACTCCAATTTAGCCCACTCTGCATTTCAGGCTGCAGCTGTAGTGCAAACATGTACACCTAGTTCACGAATTTACTATTCTTATCCACCCCTAAATCATGAAACTCTAGACATAAATACAACACTTTCTCCAGATAGTAAACACTCTAAGATGTGCATTGCTTTGAAGCAGCCAATGCCTGTATTACCTGTACCGTAACCTATTTGACAGATGCTTTTTGCGTTGCCTGTGAATCAAACTTAAATGTATCCCCCCCAAAGGAATTTAGACATTCCGAGAACACATGATCGGACTGTAGAGAAGCAAATTCAATTAAAGGCTGGAATCTAACCCCCTACAAAACTTCCAGTGGATTGGTAAATTAAACACCGTCAGAAACACCATCTTCCTCTCAGATCAACGCGATAAAGTTCTCACCTCAGTGCACAGCGTCAGGAGAAGACACACTAGTGAGAAGCGGTGCAGTTTCCCCAGATTATTCCACATGTCTCCGGCTGCCCAGTGATAGTTACCATTAGGGAAATGAAAAAGATGTATGTCTCAATCAGTCAAAAATAATATTAAAGAAGTATCCTCCTTCTGGTGTGGGAGGCATTCACGGCGCAGTGCTCCCTGGGATGCCTGCAGGTTCTGGAGGATGAAGCGCGCGCTGCTACTGCTGCTTGGTCCTCTGACAAGACGCGCGAACAACACTTCCCTCAGCCGCTCGACGCACTAAACAGCAGAGAAGCAGAGCAGCGGTGCGTCTCTGTTGCCAAAATCCAGAGCCGGGCGCTCCCCCTGGTGATGGACAGCCGGCGGACCAATCACAGGCCGCCTGGGTGGAACGTTCGTCAGCGGAGAGCCAATCAGGAAAAGTGGGCGGGATCAGGAGTGTAGGGGAGGACCGCTGATGGATTTATTATGGAAGTTTTCTCACACAGGAGCTTGTATTTTTATTATATATACACACAAACACACAGTAAAATGTAATTGTATTGAACATGGGGATATATATGGTAATACATGTTTGTTCCATACAAATCAATCTCATAATATGTTTATGGTAAAGAATTTCTGCAGAATTATAATTCAGAGGGTTCTACTCAAACCATAAAACAAACACACAGTATAAAGCTATAAATCAGACTCATAAATAATGTGTAAAAGTATGTAGAGTGCAGCACATGTTGTGTTTATTGGAGGATACCTGAGTTGCTCCTCACTGACCTGCAGGCAGAAGAAACATGGCTGTTAGCGCCCTCTACTGACCGCCTGCAACACATCACTACAGGGAAAAGTGATGACAGCTGGAGAAGCCTCTACATTTATCAGATACTGGAGGTTTTTTTTGTATTTACATTTGAAACACTTTCTCTTCTTACTTCAAAGCATTTCAGGTGAGACATGTTGATTTCTCTTTGCCGGCGGCGGTATCACACAAAATGTGCAGTTCCGTTTTCAAGTGATTTCAAAGAGTAAAGATATGATTCCTTGTTGTTCTATTGGTCTACTCTACAATATCCATACATCACCGTTTGATTTTGTTTCTGTCTTACAAGTTCAAAGATAGTGTAGCAACTTTCAGGTAATATATATATGGACGTTTAGATGCTAAAATGTGAAGACCTTTCTCACCTAATCTTTACGTAATAGATTCAGCATGAACATCAGTGAGGGCCTCAGCCTGGAACACCATCTAATCTTTATTAGCATTATTGATTACCCTCGTGTCCTCCATCAGAACGCTTTATAATGAGAACAAGCAGCTAAAGAGGCACTGGAGGCAGCTGGGACGATTTACTGCCTCTGTAAAAGAAGTGCTCGTGAGTTTCCAGTGGTGGAGAGTAACAAAGTTTACTTTAAGTGCCATCTTTAAGACATAATTGTACTTGACTTGAGTATTTCCATCCTATGCTACTCTATACTTCCGAGGCAAATGTGGTACTTTTACTCTACTAGATTTATTAAACACTACTTTTTACATTTCAAAACATGTGATTTGCTTATGCTTTTTAAAGCATCTAAAATTGGCTCCACATTGACAAACTACAACATTATACAATGAATATTATTGTGAACAGAGCAATGGTGCACATTGAATACTGAAACTTTTGATACTGTACATCTAGCTGACATTACTTCTGTACTTCTACTTAAGTAACAATTTGGACTTTTACTTCTAATGGAGTATTTTCGGACCTTAGTATTTCTACTTAAGTAAAGCATCTTCCACCTCTGTCAGTTTCCCTATGATAAACTGTCATTAGCTGCAGATACAAGAAGATAAAAAAAGACTTAAAGTTGATTCAAACCCATTAGACGGAAAATAAATTAAGGTTTTGAGGAACATCTAATCACAAAGGTAATCTCCAATATATCTGGTACTACAGTATGTGTAATCAATGATGAGCACATTGGTATTAAACACATTTACTAACATAATATAACTGTGGTTTTTTTATACAAAATGAAAAGAGGTACCTGCCTTCTTCAGCTGTCGAAAGAAAAAAAACATGAAACACTGGAGGAGAATCTGGGCATCTCAACAAAAACACATCAGTTAGAATCTGAAAGACAAGTTGATGACACATATTACTTTTTAATTAAAACATAAAAGACCCAAGTTAATCAAGTTATATTTCTGGAATCGGTACAACAGTGGGACATTTATGGGAAGTATAGCAGCTATCCTGAAATGCACAGGAATTGGGACACCTTACGTTCTGAACAATGGTGCTCTGTTTGCCAACACTCTGGGGTTTTAAAGTAACAAATCTTAATGTCAGAGCCATCCTAAACAAGTCTTTATTTACGTGCAGTCTTCCATGAACTCATGTTTACACAGCAGGTTTCTGCACAGCATATTCTACATCTTAGGCTGCGTTCAGTACCAATAAATAAAGTGTTGTGTTGACAAGTGGTTAAGAAATAATGATGCATTCGTGGAAGTGAACTGGTAAATAAAGCAAACTTTGATGAAAAGCTGCGGTCGGGTTCATTGAAAACAATTGCAGGCAAACCACCATAAGGTATTTGAAGAGAATAAAAAGTATCACACTGCCTTGGGCGTTTTGATGTCCTATTAAAGGTTCTGACGTTTAATTCATGAAAGCCATTTTTGGATGTCACTTCCTCTCGCTCTACCGTCAACCCTCTAATAAAGGCATAACATGTCCAAAAAAAAGACTTCAAAAGCATCAACGAGACAGCTAACACTTCAATGTGGTTGCACTACTGCTTCATCTATTCAAATGCTCTACAAACATATTACATCAACATGCCAGTCACAAAGCTGTTGATGGCTGTATGTTAAAAGTTAGTGGATCACCAAAGTTATTATGGTATCATATTAAGAGAATGAACAGTCAGTCACATTTCATGATAATGCATACAATGTTTCGATAGAAATATTAACCCTATGTTAGAGCAAAAGGTCATTCAGTAGGATTCATCCTCTGGGAACCATGAGCACGTACACAATTGTGCGTGCCAATACTTCTGACAGGGATTTTGTCATTCCTATAGCCATGCAAAATACAGCTAAATATTAATATAAGTCGTTATTAATCTGTATATGTACATGCTTGTCTGGTAATAATCTTGTTTTTATCAATTGAGTTGTGCCATTGAGGATTTATTTTACCATGTTCCTGATGATTTCCAAATTCAAACCTTTTTATTCAAGAAGTCTGTGCCCTCTAATACGTATGAAAACCCTGTAATTGTGTAACTTCCAGCACGCCGACAAGATTTCCTGTTGCTTTCATATTCATTCGACCTCTCAGATGGCAGGCCACGGGGCGGTCTTATTGGACAGCTGTTTCTCCACATTTACATCACCCTGCTGCAGCTTTAGCCCGCGCACAGTGGATCAGTTCTGCAGGCCGCTCAGTGGGGACGGAGTCAGACAGGTGGCCTCTGACACCCTGCAGCAGATGTTTCCTCCCAGGGAAGCAGGTGCAGACACAGGACACACACACATTTTGCCATTTGCACATACTTGTGTACATATGACTCATTGACATGCCTGCACACAGACACAAATGTCTTGTCTTCGTCTCTTTAAAGCGGGTCTTATCAGCAGGGATAAGGAAGTAGGGGAAACAGATAAACTAGGAAGTAATGAGGCTAGCATGAAGCTCACTCCTCTGCTCCGGGTATAACACAGAATCAATGGTAACTTCACAATGTAACAGTTTAGTTAATAAACCTGCATTTACTTGAATGTACAAGACCTGTCCTGAAGTAAGATTTTAAAATACTTTGCTTTTTCGAGGGATGTCAATGTTAACGCTGGGGATTTCTCTGAAAACACACCACATTCAATCAAACCTGACTTTGTCCCTTCATTCCAGCGTGGATGTTTACCCTGAATTGCATGGCAGTAAAAGGCAAACAAATTGGAGGAACTGGCACAAGAGACATATACTGCACCGACAGTAAAAACCATCTCTACATCGCTGTAACGTCACACCTATTCAATGACAAATGGTATGCACTCATCCTTTAGGTGTGGTGAGAATGAAGAAAAGGCCTTTTGTTAAACCATGCTAAGTGGGTAAATGATTGAACTTCAAATCAATAAACCAGAAATCATCAAAACTAAGCTGAGATGTTTTAATAATGTTAAAAAAAACTCTGATTTCTCTTACCAGTGGGTCATGCGTTTCTTTATTAGATCACACGTTTTCCAAGCAGAACACAAGGAAACACTAGTCTTTGAAACATTTGTCACTAATCATGAGACTTACCCTACACAGCATTTCAGATGAAAGAAATGTACCATTTCCTCTTGAGATGGTTGGATTAACATTGCAGAACAAAGGCCCATTTGCCATTTATATAGAGATAAGCTCATAAAATAACAATAACACCATCACTCACGTTTGATTTCTTCATTTCCTAATAGACACAGCATGCCACTGACAACACCAGCGTTGTGCAATCATCTGTTTGGAGAGCCAAGCTCGTGTTTCAATAAAGTTCTAGATGACAGAAAGTTGGCTTCTTTCTACGAATGCAATAATTGAACAGTGTCTTTAAAAATATCCCCTGTGCACAGGTGTGATGGGCATTTTTTTACCCAACAGTGTTTTCATAGCAACAAGTTATATTGGCTACATGCCAACATGAGAACAATAGCGTGTTAACGTGCATACAGTAATGTTTATGTGTTAATAATTAGAGTGAACACTGGACACTTAAGTTTAACTACTTAGAGAAATGTTGATCTAAGCATTACTCTCAAAGTCCATACTGCTGTGCCAACTTAAATTCAGAAGTATCCTTTTAGAGTTAGAAAGTCCGAAAAAAAAAAAAGTCAATAGAATCATTGTCTGGGAACCATGGATGTTTACTGTATGTAGAAAACTACAAAGGAATCGATGCATTGTTGTTGAGTTATCGCACTAATTAAAGTGCTGGAGAGACTGAGCAACCAACTAAAATGACCATTTATAGGGCCACACAGTAACTAGCACTCTAAAAAACAGCAGCTGAATGTACTGTAGTTGAAAGGATAGATGAAGGATTTAACGATTTCATCAGGTGCATTAACACATCCATGCTCGCAGCTCTCCGAACCTGTACTAAAGAACTGCTGACTTTTGAGCTAAATGCTAGAATCAATAATTGTTGGGGTATTTCACTCAAAACCAGCAATGTCAATCACCAATGAGACCATTTTGAAATAGTAATTTTAGTGAGTAGGTTTTATCGTTAAGGGATCATAAATGGCAGTACCAAAT